ATCTATTCAAATGTAAACGTCCGATTCGGGTTGTTAGGCATTCGAATGAATCAATGCTCTTGGCCAAGTTTGTGTTGACAAGGACACCGACCCCTCCAACACCTCTTTTATCGCATGTTCCGAGGAACAATTCTTCTCCAGTGTCGAAAACGGCATGGTGAGATTCGTGCCTTCTTGTCTCGGTCAGACCAATGATGTCGTACTTGATCATTCGTGCTTGTACCATCAGGTCCTCGATGGATGCATCTGATGCTAGCGTACGTGCATTGAAAGTACAGACGATCATTTTTGTCTTCCTTCGTTGTGGCAGCCTAGGTCGGCCTTGAGATTTTGTCGGCCTCTTCTTTCTCATCCTTCTCAGTGCTGCCATGTCGGTGAAGCCTTCAGGGTCAGGTGAATGAGACCAGTTATAGTTACTGGTTTTGGCATATCGAATACACAACAGATAGCTTGCCAGGCTCTTCCGTGCGGGCAGAATACTCTCGGTAGCTTGCCAGTCTTTTCGAGAGGGATAGAGGCTTTTGGGGCAACCTCTAAACCCCCTTGTAGGTGTTACCATATTTGAACCCTATCAAATATGGTACGACAATTCCGGAAGATGGGTATTTAGTGTCTTATGATGTGTCGCGAGAAAGAGAAATCGAGAAGTTCTACATGGAGCTAGAGAAGTTCTATAAAGAAGACCACACCTTCTACAAGATCATTGTGGGTGATTTTAATGCCAAGATAGGACCAAGATGATCAGCTGAAGAACTTCACATCAGGACCCATGGCCTAGAATGGAACGAACAGGGTGAGAGACTGTCTGAGTTCATCATGTCGACCAAGACCATTCATGGTAACTCACAGTTCCAGAAGGCAGAATCTAAACGTTGGACATAGGAGTCTCCCGGTGGACGATTCCACAACGAAATAGACCACATCATATTCAATCGAGAGTTTTGCCTGACCGATGTTGCTGTTGTCCCAAAATTTCGAACGGGATCGGACCACCGTCTCCTTCATGCAAAATTCTACTTCACAGAGCAGGGAGAAAGGGCTGCAAAGTTTAAGAAGAGAACTCCCAGAATGACCACCAACTGGGAACTCTTTGGTACTATTGCGGCAGCATGGGAAGATGCCATTGTTGACAACATTGACGAGGAATACGATCGACTGGTTCAGCACCTCCATGAATGTGCGAGGAACGCCAAGAGAGAGATAGCCACAAAAGATCACCTATCTTCGAAAACTCTTGAGCTAATTCACCAGCGTGGTTTGGCGCATGCCTCAGGCAACCGCAAGCTAATGTCCGAGCTCGCAAAGCAGTGCAGAGATGCGATCAAGGAAGACCTCAAAGAGAGAAGAGCAGAAGTACTGGTAGATGCGGCAGAAGCCGGGAAAAGTATTCATAATGCCCGCCTGTCCTTCGCCAACTACAAGACCAAGATGACTGCCCTCCGATGTCCTGATGGATCCATCACATCCTCCAGAACGGCAGTGGAGAAGATTATCCATGACTTCTACTCAAATCTCTTCGATAGCCATGTCCACTTGCCGACATACCAAATTCCATAGGATGGATATGTCATTCCCAACGTTCTCCCTTCCGAAATCCGACACGCCATTTCGTAGATAAAGAAACAAACAGCACCCGGCCCAGACAAGGTCAGACCTGAACACCTGAAGAACCTGCCATCAGTACTCATCAATCCACTGGCTCGGCTCTTCACTCGCTATCTGTCTGAATGCAAGGTTCCGTCCCAATGGAAAACCAGCAGGACCGTACTACTGTTCAAGAAGGGAGACATCCATGACATTGGCAACTATCGCCCAATCTGCCTATTGTCTGTCATCTACAAGTTGTTCACTCGAGTCATCCTAAAGAGGATTGGCAGAACACTAGATGAAGGACAACCATGCGAGCAAGCAGGGTTCCGCAAAGGATTCAGCACCATCGACCATATTCACACAATAACCAAGCTCATTGAGGTTTCTCGGGAGTTCAAGATGCCGCTCTGTTTAACGTTCATTGATTTAAAGAAGGCCTTTGATTCTGTTGAGATGGAAGCGGTCATTGAAGCCCTAGCCAATCAGGGCATTCAAGCCCAATACATCAGGATCCTCCGTGAGCTGTATTGCGGATTCACTACCAGGATCTCACCATTCTACAAAGAAGTGATCGTTGATGTCAAGAGAGGGGTGCGGCAGGGTGATACCATTTCACCGAAACTCTTCAGTGCCACCCTCGAGAACATCATGCGACGACTGGAATGGGAAGGAATGGGAGTGAAGATAGATGGTCGGCAACTACACCACCTCCGCTTTGCTGATGACATTGTTTTAATAACACCAAACATCAGCCAAGCGGCACAAATGCTGGCCGACTTTGACCGTGAGTGTGGAAAGGTAGGACTACAGCTGAATCTTACGAAGACAATGTTTATGAGAAACAGCCTCGTTCCTGACGCCCCATTCACTCTCAATGGAACGACCATCTCCAAATGCAACACTATGTGTACCTAGGTCGTAAGGTCAACATGACAAATGACCTGGCACCCGAGCTGCGCAGGAGGAAGAGAGCGGCTTGGAACGCCTTCAAGAACGTCGAAGAAATAGCTAAGAGGATGAAGAACCTCCGGCTCTGGGCACATCTCTTTGATTCCACTGTTCTTCCTGCATTAACATATGCCTCAGAGACCTGGGCCCTACGCAAACAAGATGAGAACACTATTCAGGTCTCCCAAAGAAGAATAGAAAGAGCTATGCTTGGAATATCACGTTTCACTCAAATGAGAGAAAGAATCCGGAGTTCTGACATCCGTCGACGATCAAGAATCAGGGACGCTGTCTCATTTGCCAAGGTGTCGAAAATCAGATGGGCTGGTCACGTAATGAGATTTAAAGACAACCGCTGGACTAGAGCTGTTACCGACTGGATTCCACGGGATGTCAAAAGACCGCGTGGCCGCACACCTACCAGATGGTCAGACTTCTTCATCAAGATCATGAACGATCGGTTTGAGGCCCTTCATGTTCCCGGAGCGAAGAGATGCCATTGGACTACACTAGCACGCGACAGGGACAAATGGAGACATTACTGGCACCCGCTCGAGCAAATCGACGACTAACGGGAAGTTAAGTGATTAAGTGATAAGTGATGCCACCCAGTTTATGGTATTTTTTTAAATAGCAACTGAAAAGAACTAAGAATGCCTACACTATGAACTCTTTTTATGTAAAGTTTCTCTCAGTATGATGTTTTGAAATTCACTCAACCTCCAACAAATATCAGCAGTCCAATCCTTTTTATTTCTAGGTAGTATTCCTTTGTGTGCTATGCCAAGATTTGTGTATTTATCCTCCTCTTGATGGAGATTTAGGCTTCTAGTTTTGGATTACTATAAATAAAATTCCCAACGGATAATTTTGTACCAAGTTTTGTGAGTATATATCCTTATTTCTTTTGGGGGAAATATTCAGGAAAAAATTGGGGGGATGATGGGGTACATAACATGTAGGTGTTCTGTTTAAATTCCCACCAACAATGTAAACTGTATGGTTGTTCTGCCTGTAGTCTTTCTAACTGTAGTTATTCTGGTGGTTGTAGCATTGTACCACTGTCCTACCATTGTTCATCGATTTGCTCGAGCAGGCACCAATAACGTCTCCATTGTGAGACTTGTTACTGTTTTTGGTATATCAAATACATCACTGGGAACTTGCCAGGCTCTGCCGTGCTGGTGGGATACTCTTGGTAGCTTGCCAGGCTCTCCGATTTATTTTACCATTTTGGAAAATTTTCTGAATTAAATATAAAGGTAAGGTAAAGGCCCTCCCATTGATCATCGATTTGCTCGAGTGGGTCCAGTAACATTTCCATTGGAGACTTTGTTGTTACTATGTTTGGCATATATATATATATATATATATATATATACATATATATATATATATATATGGGCCAGGGCAATAGTACTGTGGATTGGACGTTTGCCTTGCACGCGGCCAACCTGGGTTGGATCCCCAGTATCCCATAAGGTCCCCCAGCACCGCCAGGGATGATTCCTAAGTGCAGAGCCAGGAGTAACCCCTGAGCATCATCGGGTATGACCCAAAAAGCAATATATATATATATATATATACACACACACATATATACATATATGTATACATAGATATATATATGTGTAGCTATGTGCAGGTTAAAAGAGAGCTAGGTATTAAATCACAAATGATATTATATGATAAATAATCTGAATCCACCATGAAAGTGTAAGAAATGACAAAATTTGTATGTGTGTGGAAATGTGGAAGATGCAACACACAATTTTTTGGTCTGTTTATGATTCTTTCACTTATACTAAAATACTACAATAGTAAAAGGAGAACTTAGAAAACCACAACTTTTTTGGGGGGGGGGGGCACATCCAGTAGGGCTACTTCGGCTCTGTGGTGCCAGGGATCCAACAGTGCTAGCCCTTTCTGAAAATGAAGTCTTAAAATGCAGTAACTTGCCTGGAGTCCATAGTTAGAAGAACCAGAATTTACCCCCAACAACCTTTGCTCTTTAAACTCAATGCTTTTTTTTGAGCATGTGGCAGTCAAATTTGAGAAGGTCTGAAAGTAGATTTGGTGAGCCCAAGAGTAGATAGTGCTACCTGTCTCCACTGGATTTGCTTCTTCTGTCCTTCTCTTTTTCTGCTCCTTTGTTTGTTTGTGTTGGAGGTGGAGCTGTTTGGCCTTTCAGAAGATGCACATGTACCTGAGCTCAGCCTTCCTCTAAAGCCGAGAGTGCATTTCTGGGTATAGATTTCTCTGTTGCAAAGACTTAGTGGATCATCACTCTTTCTACCTTGCCTCTGCCCCTCAGGTTTTAGACTTGAAATAACCATGAAGAGGACATTCAGAGAGCTTCACTGGCCCCCGCTCTATGCTTTGGTTCTTTTCATTCTCCCATCTGGGCCTTGGGGCAAAGAGAGGCAACTGTGCCCACTGTGTGTTCCTTTGGATGCTGTTACCTGTTCCTCGAAAGCACTAGCTTGCTCCTCAAATCCCACTGTTCGGAAATAATTGACGACATCGATCACGGCCCAGTCTGCAGGATCAGGTGGTCTCCCATTCTCCATGGAACTGCAAAACAGATCCAGAGACAACTGTCACAGCAGAGCACGTGAAAGTGAAGCCATACCTGCTGCTTATGGCAGCCAAGGTCAGCAGGTTTCAACCCAAGTCCTCTCTTGTCTCAGAGGCCCATATCCCCAGAACGTTCCTTGGGGCCATAATCACTTGTGTTTATGAAGATCTTGTGTTTCCAGAAGACCATGCTCTCACTAATTCAATCACTGCTTTCCTAATAAGCCATTAAGCCTGTGATATAAGGTAATTCATAATGTACTGATGAATTAAGTCGGACTATATTAAGAGAGGCCTAGTGACTCAGGCATATGATGGTCATACTTCTATATCACCACCACCAGGCCTTCTGCATAATGTTCTCTATAGACCTTTCTTTCCTCTTTCTTTTTTTTTTCTTTTTGGGTCACACCCGGCGATGCACAGGCGTTATTCCTGGCTCTGCACTCAGGAATTACTCTTGGCGGTGCTCAGGGGACCATATGGGATGCTGGGACTCAAACCCAGGTCAACCATGTGCAAAGCAAACGCCCTACCCACTGTGCTATTGCTCCAGCCCCTCCCCTTTCTTTTTTATTCACTTCCTTTATATTTTAGAGAAGAGCAGGTGTCACATTTGCTGTGATTAGGGCTTACTCTTGGCTCTGAGCTCAGGGATCACTTCTGGTGGTGCTTATGGATGGTGTATGGAATAGAATCTGGGCCAGCTGCCTGTACAGCAAGCATCCTACCCACTGGATAATATCTCCAACTGCTGCGAGGGACCAGAGAGATAGTACATTGGGTAGGCCGTTTGCTTTGCAGATGGCTGACCTGGTTCAATTTCCAGCATCCCATACAGTCTTCAAAGCCTACCAAGAGTAATTCCTGAGCACAGAGTCAGGAGTAAGCTCTGAGCACGAATGGGTGTGGTCCCCAACAAACAACAACAATGAAAAACTGGTGCTCTAGGTTGCACCAAAGCAGGAGGTGCACATATTCGGGACTTCATAATTTTTCCTTGTGTCAAGCACATTAGTAGGGTTTCAATTAATCCTCGGATGATTAGATGATGACCAAGCACTCGGAACTTGCTCACTGGGTTTCAGGAGTAGGGACAGAAGAAATACGAGAGAGAAACAAAGGCAAGGATCTATGATTCTGTTTCATGTCTGAGTTTCAGGAGTATTCAAGAGGATATTTCTATGTCTCTTCCAAGCAGTTCTTCCAGAGTGTAATCTGATAATATAGTTCCTTCTGCTTAAAATCCTTCAAACTTCTCACTGCCTTGATGATAAATTACAAATAGCTTAATGTGGCTCAGAAGGTCCTGGAGCACAAAGCCTCTCTTAGCTTTCCAGCAAAGAGTAAGTGTTCATTGGTAAGTAAAGCAAATAAGACTAAGGAAGGGCTTCCGCTTATGACCGTATTGTTTGGAGCTACAGTGAGCCATAACCACACAGTTAAATGTGCATCTGGACACTGTGGAAGGATGGGCATTGCGCCAGTGCTGCATTGGTTCTGGGGTTAGGTAGTCTTTCCTGTGGAAGTTACTTTTGCGGCAAAAGCAGTCAGAGAAAGATTATTTCAGGATCTGTGACAGACATTATCTATGAACAGCAAGGACTTGTTAAATGATCATATGTAAAGGCGGTGGCCTGATGAGATTCACATGTTTTAGAGTGTTAGAAGGGAGCCTTGGGGAGAAGGACCAGTAAAAGGTCTATTATACTTATCCAAACAAGGTATCTTGGTCACTCAAACTACAGAGTGGTGACTCTGAAAAAGAGAGGAGCATGTGGATTTACATGACATTTATCCACAGAACCAAAACTTTAATATCAGCATGAGTGGGGCTGGAGTGATAGCACAGCGGGTAGGGTGTTTGCCTTGCACATGGCTGACACGGGTTCGATTCCCAGCATCCCATATGGTCCCCCAAGCACTGCCAGGAGTAATTCCTGAGTGCATGAGCCAGCAGTAAGCCCTGTGCATCATGGGGTGTGACCTAAAAAAGCAATACACACACATACAAACATATATATATATATATATATATATTCATGAGTTATATATATATATTCATGAGTTATATATATATTCATGAGTTATTGATGGGGAGACACAGGTTGGAGAGGGACATGGCTTGGACTTCACTTCAGTTTCACACCCACCCCTGAGTTAGTTATCCACAATGAATTTGGAGCAACAATTCTACCCAAGCAGAAAACTAATATGAGACAGGCATCTAGCTCAGGAGTCTAGACTGACTCGAGTGACATATTTGGAAGACAAGGCATTTTAGATGGCGATTGAAACCTTTGGAGAGGAGAAGACAATGGGGTCTAGGACTAAACTAGTGGTGAGTTCAATATGTGGAAAAAGTTGAAAATAATCATTATACCCTGTAGGATGGCATTGCTTTGTCCTTCCTCCACAAAAAGCCAGCCAACAAGTGAGTAAACAATAGTCCGCATGACCAAAGATTTCTCAATAAAGCATTTCATTTAAAAACATTTAGGTATAAGTGTTTTTCTTTGGGGCTTAAAAATTGTGTATCTATAAACATTGCATGCCTATATATGCATGCAACTGTATTTGTGTATGTGTGTGCATATAAAAACACACATGTACCTCTAACATTTAATAAGTAAAAGATCTATTTTAACCCTAATATTTTCAAACTATGCATTTTATTTATTTTTGTTTTGGATCCACACATGTGGTGCTCAGGGCTTACTCCTGACTCTGTGCTCAGGGATCACTCCTGGAGGTGCTTGGGGAGGCCATATGTGGTGTTGGATTTGAACTGAGATCAGTCTTGGTAAGTTTTTTAATTCCTGAACTATCTTCCTGAGTCCATACGTTAGCACTGTCTGTCCTCCCATTGTTCATCGATTGGCTTGAGGGGGTCCAGGAATGTCTCCATTGTGAGACTTGTTGTTACTGTGTTTGACATATCGTATACATCACAGGGAGCTTGTCAGGCTTTGCCGTGTGGGCGAGATACTCTCAGTAGCTTGCCTGGCTCTCCAAGAGGGGGGTCATACTTTAACTATTTTAAAATAAAAAATAGATTTGAGGGATTGAGGTTGCAATACTGGGGATTGAACCCAGGGCCTCACATGTAAGGCTAGTGGTCTTCTTCTAACCCGTATCTCCAGCCACCCAAACTTGATTTATTAAAAAAATTATTATCCACATGCTGAATGTGGCCCCATGACCCCGACCAAAGAATATCCAATAGTAATAACAAAGAAGTATCCCTCACTGTCATCATGCTTCCCTGATACCTACTCTGCTGGGATGTGATATCATCATTTGCAGAGTTCTGAAAAATGTTCTAAACCTAGCTATGAAGCAGAGAAAAAAAACCAACTTCAATGCAAAACTTCATGCAATATACCATGAAGAACAGAAGCGCAATGGAAAGGGGATTCCTTCATATCTCTGGATTTGGCTTTAGCATTACCATAATAGAAATGAAATAAAATTCAGGGAAACTAGGGAAGAAGGAAGAGGAGGAGGAGGAGGAGAAGGAGGAGAAGAATAAGAGGAGGAGAAAGAAGAGGAAGAAGAACTACTATTTTAAGTGCGCTCTGATATATATGTATATATATATGTATATATATATTATATATGTTTGATTCCTCCCTTCTTGCCAGAGAGCCCGGAAAGCTACCAAGAGTATCCCACCCGCATGGCAAAACCTGGAAAGTTACCCATGACATATTTGATATGCCAAAAACAGTAACAACAGGTCTCAATTTGTTGTGAGATGTTACTGGTGCCCGCTCGAGCAAATCAGTGAACAATGGGTTGACAGTGCTACAGTGCTATGAAAGATGCAGGTTACAAGGATAGAAGAGCATAGTCCCTGTCTTTAAGGTGCTGGCAATCTGGAAGGGGAAGTGGAGCTGGAAACAACTGATTCCAATGTGGACTGGAATTGGGATGTGGACAACTGTGGCTGTGGATGCATGTGGCTATAGCTTGGCATGCTCTCCCTGACTCGAACACAGATTTTCCATGGCAATTTTTCCATGCAACTACTCCTCTCAACATACCCCAAGCTAGGCTCTGAGAAGGATGCTTGCGGAGATAGCTATGTGCTGACACATATCACCACTTCAAGGCCATTTATGTTGTTGTGATGAAGAAATTCGCCTGTCCCTTCCTGAGGATTTAGCAGCAGTTTTAAGGAGAAAGTTGGGGATGATTCTAGGCAGAAACAAGCTGGTAGGGGCTGGCAGGGTGTGGGGAAAGATGGGAGGGGTCACAGAGCTATGTCTGGATAATATCTGACATGAGAACATTTTAGAGGATGGATTTAAGTGTCTTTAAGTGTCATTTCCCCTCCCCCTCCAAGTCTCTGCAGAGAAAGTCACATATCTCCTCAGGGACTGGTATTTGTAGTCAAACTGAGATTTTATTCCCTTATAAATGGTTTATCCTCTCCAAATTGTCTCTTCTAACGTGCTTGTCAAATTCCAGAAGGAATTTAAACAACACTGTTTAAAACACCTCCCAGATGGTGGTTCCCATCGTGGCTGCTAATTTTGCACTGATGAAATGAAGTGGCAGATATAAAGATTTCATCATCATTTGATATTTATAATTTGCTGTCATCATAGCAAAATGCTTCTTAGAATATCATGCAGAGAGACGATAAATATTTTTCATGCACAGAAGCTTTAAATATGTATGTAGGTATCTTATTATAAAAAATAGCAAGAAATAAATGGAAGGACTTATCTACAATTCACTGTTTAATCAAATCAATGTTTCCATTGAACCCAGTCACCTTTTAGTCCTTGTGCATATGATTAGGTACATCATGTATGATAGAAGTCATATAATGCATGAGTAATTTAGATTAGGAAATGATTATCCCTTAATTAAACAATCACCTCACTTTTAAAGAGAGCAAGAGAGACACAGTAAATAACAAATCTGACAAATAGATACAGACTGAGACCTTCTTATAAACATTTTCATCTTGGCACATTAAAATTTTA